CATAGTAAAAGTGATTCTAGGATTTCTAGCAACCACACATATAAACGAATTTGAAAAATCATTTGGGGATTTTCTCGGCAACTAAAGTGATGAATTATGGGCCAGGGGAGTAACCGGGCCAACGCCCATTAACTGAAGCGGAGACTTTAACAGATAAAGAAGGCCCATAAACAAAACCCTAAGTGTATCATATAAATCGATTACTTTCCTCAGTTGTTCATCGCCGTCGTAGCGCAGTTGAGCAAATCCCAGATCCATCAACTTGTACAGTAAACAAGTTCATTCTTCAAGTAAACAAGTCAATTCAGCAATTCGATTTCTCATTCTTCTTCTCCGATCCAGTTTCCTCTCGCTTATCTGTTCTTCTTTTTTATTGTTTTTCTTGTTCAGAAAATGAAGGTTGTCGCCGCGTTCTTGCTCGCCGTTTTGAGTGGGAAAGCTTCCCCAACCAGTGGAGATATCAAAGATATTCTCGGATCAGGTTCGTTCATGCTCTTTTCTTACTTGGTCTAGTTTCGGAAGCCTTCGGACTGCAACTGTTTAAGATTCATTGTAAAAGTGGAATGGAGGATTCCTTGTTTAGATAGACGCTCAAGTGTATATATAGATGATTTGAAGGCTATTTTATTTGCATCTGTGGGAAGTTACCTAAACTTAAAGTGTATATATTGATGGTTTGGAGGCCATTTGCATCTGCGAGAAGTCGCCTAAACTTAAAGTGTATATAGGGAGTCGTTCCCTAAAATATTGTTACTCTTATCTTCAATATATAGATTCGAAACGCCGACACTAAGAGAATCCCCAATGAAAGTTTTTCTATGGGTATCTTAGCATTAAAATAACACAAAAAATGAAAAAATTAGAGAAAGTTAGAGAAGTTTTTGTTGAAGAAACCCACTAAAAATTCTAAAGACATGTCTTTTTCTAAGTGGTTCATAGTTTAATTTTTTAATTAAAATTTAAATATATAATTAAGGGATAATTTGCTAACTAACCAAAAAAAAATTATAATTAAAAAGTAAAAAAAATTAGTATGTGTGGCAAAATATGAACCTTTAGATCTAGGTTAATTTGTTAGAATTTTAGTCATAGTTTTTTTTGTGTTATTTATGCTAATTTTTCTATAATTAAATTATATTGTTAAGAAACTCAAGCGAGTTTATCAACCATTAAGGATGATGCTCTAAGCTCTTCTACCCACTATAGTAACACAGCTAAATGTTAACATGTGCTCAATGACGTTAAAAAACAAAAAAAAATGTTTAACATTTCTATTCATCGTCCTCTCTCCTTAATTGTCCTCCTCTCTACTACAAATCACCTCTTTTTTTTTTGTCATTTCTGTAATGGGCTTCTCGAATTTCTGGGCCGAACACGATTCACACATCTGCACTTGACCTTGCTTATGTGTTGACAAGCTTAGAAATCTCTCTATCCTTTAGAGGCGTGGAACAATTCCGGATATCTTGAAATTTCAGGGTATCTGGATCCGGAATCGTCGGATCTGTGGAAAAACAATCCGAATCCGGATCCTCTTTTCACGGATCCTAGATTTTACTATCCTTATTCGGATCCGGACTCTCCGGATATCCTAATTTTTGGTTTAATTCCAAACGGATAACGGATTGGAGCTCGAATCCCGGATAATAATTTTACCCCTACTTTAGAGTCTTTCCTTCCAATATTAACACAAGATAATAAATAAAGAAATAATATGGAGAAAGTAGCTAGAGTCGATGATGATGAGTAAAATATAAATGGCAGTCTTGACCTCACTCAATCACTTTGTCTCGCTCACTCGTTTCCTTTCTTCTTTTTCCACAATCAAAAGATATAAATCTCTTCTCGCTCAAACCAATAGTACTTGTAAAGACATTACCAATATTTTTACTTGCAAATGCAATAACGTTTTTAGAGCATCATTATTGATGATACACTTTGGGTATCAACAAGATTAATTTAGTATTAAGTTTAATAGAC